GGGAAAAAAATAGCTCAGCACCCACCGGAAGCCCCGCGGATCAGCTCCCCTCCCCTTCTCTCCTCCCCCTACCCCCAGCGATCTGCTGTTCAGTGGCATGCAGGAGGCTCAGTGGGGGCAGGAAGAGGCGGAGCGGGGGCGGGACGAGGCAGGGCAGGGGCTTGAGGAAGGAGGTGGTGGCTTGGGGAAAGGGGCAGAGAGGGGGTCCAGCATCCCGGGGGAAATCACAAAGTCAGCACCTCTGATTTAAAGCATGTGCTCCAATATAGCGCCAACCTGTTTTTGATCCAGAAACATAGGTGAGTTTTTGATATGGGAATATATACTGTTCCAAGTGTGTGGGGAGGTATGTAGCCACTCTTGACCCCACTTGCCTCTCCAACTACCACTCCATCTCCTTTCTCCCTTTAATCTCTCAGCCCATTGAATGCATTGTCTACTATTGATGTCTGCTGTCTGCAAACTTGACACCATCAAATTAGGCCTCAATAAAGACTGGGAGTGGCTGGGTCACTACAAAAAATAATTTTCCCTCTGTTGATACTCGCACTTTCTTGTCAACTGCTGGGAATGGGCCACATCCACTTTGATTGAATTGGCCTTGTTAGCACTACAAAAAGTAATTTTCCCTCTTTTGATATTCACCCCCTCTTGTCAACTGTTGTGAATGGGCTACATCCACCCTAATTGAATTGGCCTCATTAGCACTGACCCCCCACTTGGTAAGGCAACTCCCATCTTTTCATGTGCTGTATATTTATACCTGCTTACTGTATTTTCCACTCCATGCATCTGATGAAGTGGGTTATATCCCACGAAAGCTTATGCCCAAATACATTTGTTAGTCTCTAAGGTGCCACAAGGACTCCTCGTTGTTTTTACTCCCATCTTCTGCCTTGAATTGCACTGAGACTGCTCTTGCCAAAGTCTCTAATGAACTTGTCCTAGCCAAATCTCAGAACTAGCAGTCCCTCCTCATCCTGCTTGGCCTGTCAGCCGCCTTCCTCACAGGCAACCATGCTCTTCTTCTTGAAATGTTTTCCTCCCTTGGCTTTTGTGACTGTCCTCTCCTGGTTCCGATCCTACCTCTCTAATTGATCCTTCAGTGTATCCTTTGGCGAATCCACCTCATCCTTCCGTGGAGGTTCCACAGGGCTCTGTCCTTGGTCCCCTTCTCTTCTCCTTCTTCACCTTATGACTGAATAATCTCACCCACAAACAAATTCAATTACCAACTCTGTGCTGGTGACTGACAGATCTACTTCTCTACTCCAGACCTAAAATCTCAACCCGTCTCTCTGACATCTCCTCATGAATGTCTCGCTATCAGCTCTAGTACAACATGGCCAAACCCGGCTCTTAATTCCCCCCGCACTCCGCCCAAGTCCTCCCCACCACTTCCTTTCTCAGTCACTGTGTGGACAATACCACCATCCTGCTTGGCACTCGGGCCAGTAACCTGGGCATCATCTTCAACTTAGACCTCTCTATTTTCTTGTATCCAGGTTATGTCTAAATCTTGCAAATCCTTTCTGCATAACATCTCTAAGATACGACTTTTCCTATCCATCCATACAGATAAAACTCTCGTCCAGTCTATCATCATTTTGGTTACTGCAATATCCTTTTCTCTGGCCTTGACAAATGCAGTTTTGCCTCACTAATATCTATTCAGAATGTTCCTACAAAGATCATTTTCCTAGCCTGCCACTTAAGAAATATCAACCCTCTCTTTGAGTCCCCGCTCTATTGCATCAAACACAAGCTTGTTTGTCTTTACTTCAAAGACCCTTCATGGCCTATCCCCACCCTAACTAGCATCTCTCATTCAGTGTCAAAATGTTAACTCCTGGCTCCGATCAGCCCAGGATGCCAGCCTCCATTGCCCCACTTGTTAAATTTTCAAACAAGCACCTTTGTGTTTTCTCCCATGCTGCCCTTCATGTGTAAGAGGAGCTCTCCTTAAACATCCACAAACTACCTCATTAGCCTCCTTCAAATCCCTCCTCAAAACTCTCCATAAGGCCTATAAAAAATGGTTAAGCTGTTGGTACACTAATATCACTGCCTGCCTTGCTAACCAATATTGTCTCTTGTTTTACTTTTACTTCCCCATCTGTCTACATCCATCTGTTGTCTCGTCGTATAGTTAGACTGAAAGTTCTTTGGGGAAGAGACTGTCTTTTTGTTCTGTCTTTGTGCAGCACCTACCACAGTGGTTCTCAACCTGCGGCCCAATTAGCACACAGCTGCGTCCCAGCTATGCTCTAAAAAAAATTGCAAAGCTTGCTGCTCCTCCAGTCTGGCAGGGTGTGGGGCTGGCTGATGGGGAGATGGCGGCAGGCAGCCCTGCTGGAGCACTTTTGCCAGCAGCGAAGGCTAAGCAGCCCTCTGTGGCAGGGAAAGAACTGAGCAGTCCAATGCAGGGGGCCCTGCCAGGCAAGTGGGTCCTGAGGGAGCTCAGCGTGTGCGGGTCCCACTCCTGCTCCAGCATGGCTATTCGCACCGCTCCCCAGGGACCAGCGCGATCCTTGGCTGCGCTGCCAGCTCAGCCCGGCAAACACAGTCATCTCCCAGCAGGGTCGGTGAGTGTGGCTGGGGGGCTGGGCAGGGTGTGGGAGAGTGGGTCTCGGGGACGGATCTAGGGGGGTTCTGGGAAGTGAGGGTATGTGGGGCAGTGGGGGTCTTGTGGGGGATGCTGGGCAGCCTAGGCACAGGAACTAGAGGGTTGGGGGGGTCCTACAGCACCCCTAGGTTTTACGCAGAGCTCTGCTGCCGGCCCTGCGTCCGGGGCCCCGGCTCCACTCTGTGGAGAGGTCTCTCGGTGAGGGGGGAGGAGGTGCTGGGCATATGGATCTGTGGGGAGTCTTAGCAGGGGGTCAGTGTGGTCATAGGGATCTGAGGGGGGTGTCTCTGGGCAGAGGAGCGCTGGGCATAGGGAGTTGGGGGGCACTGGGCAGGGAGTCGGTGTGGCGCATGGCACGGGTCTTCCCCCAAAGGGAAGGGGCACTCTGGCAGCACAGGGTTGGCCAGGCCAGTGTGTGTCTGGCACAGTGTTTCTCAACCTGTGGCCCACAATGGTAAATAGGTTGAGAACCACTGACCTAGCACAGTGGGGTTCTGGCCCATGACTGGGGGCTCCTAGGTGCCATGGTTATACAAACAATAAAAATAGCCAGGTCCTTGACCACAGATATTACCAGGCTTTCCAGGAGCATAATTTTGTTGTGGGTTAGAATAATATATTTACAAAATTAAAATTTTAAAAATGGACATATACAAAGATCACTGTCAGGGCATGTCTACACTTATCTCCAGAGTGATCGATCCAGCGGGGGTTGATTTATTGTGTCTAGTGAAGACACGATAAATTGACTGCTGAGCGCTCTCCCGTCGACTCCGGTACTCCACCGGAGCGAGAAACAATAGGCGGAGTCGACGGGGGAGCGTCAGCAGTCAACCTACCACAGTGAAGACACCACGGTAAGTAGATCTAAGTACATCGACTTCAGCTACCTAATTCACATAGCTGAAGTTGCGTAACTTAGATCAATCTCCCCTTCCCCCCAGTGTAGACCAGGCCTCAGTGAAGAAAAATGTTTGTGCAGTGTGTGCATACTGTTTCTTCAACTTAGCTGTCTAATACTGATGATACATTATTATACTGCTTGGTGAACTAGATAATATATGTACTTAAAATGACAAAAAGGGACACTGTCAACTTAAAAAGCACATTTATGTCTGAAATTTATTTACCTCCTATTGTTACTTGTTACACCTAATACTATTATGATAGAAGGAAATTGGAGGAATTTTTTTCGTTTTTTCCCCCCCACATTGTTTCTTCGTTTGGCAGCACTTCATAATAGTCAGTTTCCCTGTATAATCCATTTACCTATCTTGTTTCTGTGGGTCTTTCATACAGCAACATTGAAGAGGAAAATATTTTTAAAAACAGGAAAATGTGACTGTAAAATCACACAAAAATTGGCAGAGGCATTTAGGGTAGGAGTACTACCTTGAAATCTTTTTACCTTTTTCTTTTTTCTCCCCACTTTGCCCCCTGCAAACTGACTAGATTTGGAGTTGTCCCTTTAATGTAATTTCCCCCCCCCCCCTTTTTTTTTCTTGCTCATGATTTCTGCACTGTTGCTAAAGCTTTAACTGGGAAAATAAAGGTTTTAAAGAGGAATAATTTATTTATTTCAGACTGTTGGGAAGAAATTACCTCCAGCTACAGCAGCTCAAGAGCCAACGAAAATAGAAATGGACAGCAGAACCAAGAGTAGGTCTCACTGTTTGTTTTTTCCTCATTTGCACTCAGAGCTTGAGCCTTTTGGGAAGTGTTGAATATTTTTTTCTTAGGTTTTGTTATGAGCAATTTTCTGTATGTCTGAAAAATAATAAAACCAAGACTACAAATATATTTTGCATGGAGCTTTTGAGTTGGCAATGTTTAGACAAGCCACTTTGTTTCTAAGAAGCTTTTGAATTGTTTTTGCCCTGATATTTTACCCCCAACTCTCTGCCACCAAAATCAAATAAAATTACATCATTCACCCTCAGGCTGAAGGCACTTATAGATTAATCAGATTTGAATGTGATCAAGCTTCAAACTGCAACGTATAGGTGTGTCGTAGACAATGCCCTAATAGTAACACCCTTCCTATTTTTGCTTTTTGTGTTTAGCTGTAAACAGTTCCATCGGGTGGTAGAGTTTATGTAAGAAACAAAAAATCCAACAAAGTATGAGCGTCTTAGTGTGTATAAATCATAGGTACCTAAAAAGGGATAAAAGTAATAATTAAGCTTCTTAGGAAGATCACTGCTTTGTCCAATGGAGACATATTTAACTATCATACAAAGCAAATTAAACACAAACCACTCCTGCTTTAGTCTTGTTATTTTTTTTATAAAAATTATAATTAAATGTGTTGGGACCTAAGGGGAGGTAGACAGAACTAAGGGGGAAAATAAAGCCTGAATCAGCAAAGAAATTGATTAGAAAGTGAAACTTAGTATTTCTAGGTCAAAATTCTCCTCTCTGATCTACACTTGAGGCTCTTTATTACACATTCTCCATTTACTCCCTTGATACCAACAGAGATCTCCACAGCTGATAAGAAATCTGTAATGTAGAATGGATAGGAGAATATGGCTCATAGAAATTAGAGCTGGAAAAGACCTTTCAATACATATGCAGTTCAGCATTATTACTCAATTATTTTTCAGTTTTAAATGAACCAAAAAATGATTTTTCCACTGCTTCCCTTTTGGAGTCTGGTCCATAACCTGAAAAGATCTCCCTGTTAGGAAATTGTTCCTAATTTGTAGATTACATTTTCCTATGTCTTATTTCATGTAATGACTCATTTATATCACTTGAACTGCCAACACAATTTCTCTCCCTCTTGAAGTTTCTACCCTTCAGATTCTTGTGGGTAGTTAACACTGTGACGGGTTCCCCCCGCGGTACCTCCTGGGACTGGGATACCACTGAGCCCCCCGACCCACAAGCCTGGGCTCCCTCTCACACTGTATTGCTATGACAAGCTGCAAAGCCCTCCAGCCTGCACTTTCACCAGCACACATATAGGTAGGGCCACACCTAGCTGCAGTTACATGCAGGCTCTCTGTCCAGCTTCTGCAATGAACCAACAATGGAAAGGCTACAGCTAAGGCAACTCCCAACTCCCCAGGCACGCAGCCCCTCTGGAGAATAAGCCCAAAATTATACTGTCTTGCTCTGCACAGGGAACTGTACAGTGTAAGCTCAGAAAGTTCACCCCCCCCTCAATGCGAAGAGGAATATGCAACAGTCTTTGCCCTTGAGCTAAGATTCCCATACACTTTACACCAACTCACTGGTTTAGATAAAGCAAAAACAAGTTTATTAACTACAAAAGATAGATGTTAAGTGAGTATAAGTGATAGCAAACAGATCGAAGCAGATTACCTAGCAAATAAACAAAAAACACAAACTAAGCTTAATATACTAAATTGATTGGATATGAATTAGCAAATTCTCACTCTAAAAGATGATACAAGCAGGCTACAGATTCTTAAGGGGAAAGCTGCACTTGTTTTACAGCTTGGAATCCCCAGGTGTTTCATTCGCAGGCTAGAAATCCCTTTATCCTGGGTCCAGCACTTCTCCCAGTTCAGTCTTTGTTCCTCAGGTGTTTCCAGGAGTCGTCTTGTGTGGGGAGTGAAGAACACCAGATGATGTCATTCCCTGCCTTATATCACTTTTGCATATGGTGGGAACCCTTTGTTTCAAAGCATGGTTCCCAAACCAGTCTGTGGAAAAATACCGACATCCAAGGAGTCCAGCATCATGTGATCTGAGCACATGTCCTTGTAGGGTCATAGCAGCCATTACTCACAGGCTGTTTGGAGTGTTCTCAGGAAGACTCATCACCAGGTGGTAAATAAGCTTCTCCTAAGGCCTATTGTTTTTTCCTAATGGCCCACTGCCCTGAATAGGCCCTTCCCAACCCACTGTCTAGACTGAAAGCATCTTGTCTAGTGGGTGTTACCTAGGTGTAACTACATTTGAAATATAGATATATAGTCAATATTCATAACTCCAGATACAAAAATGATACATGCATACGAATAGGATACTCATATTCAGCAAATCATAACTTTTCCAATGACACCTCAAATGACGTATCTTGCATAAAATACATCATAATTCAGTCATAATCATATCATAATATCACTATGAAGAATATGTGGTGCAGTGTCACAAACATTTTCTCCCAAACTTTAGTAATCGTTTAGACACTCTATATATATTTAATTTCTTATAGTTTTTCATTATGTGTTGCTTTCCTTAATAATTTTCATTGCTCTCTGACCTCTTTCTAAATGTGCTGACACCCTGACATTTAATGCATGTCTGGTCTTCCTCCCGAATATTTTATGCACTTTTTGGTCCTTGGGACATAGCATCTCTTAATGCAGGTATCATACAGACAATACTGAACTTATAGAAATACTTAGAAGCAAAGTACAGAGATGGTGAAAGTTAGTTGTCGGATGTAAGCTGATAAGAAAATCATGGTAAGTAACAAAATAGGGCAACGTGCACCAACTTGCCATTATTTTAGCCTGCAAACTGGGTATAGTTTGTACACTGAGGAGGAGGAGGAGGAAGAGGAAGAAAGGGAGTTGTAGCAGGAAAAAGGGCTGGAGCTGACCAGGAAGAGGCCATACAAGCAGTAAATTCCACTGCAAAAATTCTGAGACGGAGAAAGCAGCTAAAAACCTATTAACATTAATGTAATATGAAGCAGTCCTCCTACTTTAATATACACCTGAGTGGACTTTCCCAACACTCTTGGGTTTCATGCTTCCCCTGGAGTAAGCAGGTGCAATTCCGAATCAAAGGCAATAGGAGAGTGGCACCCTCTTATACTAAGATTAACCTTAGTCCCTGGTTGAATGGTGCTGCTTACACTTCCCTGGAATATTCCTTTGACACTCTGATTTTTTTGGCCAGAAACATCCTCTCTTTCTTCTGTATCCCTCTTTCATCCGCTCTGTGTGCAAATACTCAATTTCTTATGTGTGTCCAAAACTGATGGGATGAGCAGATTCTTGCAAAATATCAAAATGGAATAAATTACACAACATTCCCATTTACACCCAGATTTTTGACCCCACACAGAACCTCTGAATTTTCCCCAAACTTTGTTGAATTAGGACATTTTATCCATGCTGGAACCTACAGGCTCCATTTGAACCTTTTTAGAGTCTGTACTCTTGCTTGGGAGACAGGGGACTGAGGCATGCATTGACTTTTAGGCCAGAAGGGACCATCGTGATCATCCAGTCTGACCTCTTGTACATTTCAGGCCACAGAAGCTCACCCACACACTCCTGTAATAGACCCCTAACCTCTGGCTGAGTTACTGAAGTCCTTAAATCATGATTTAAAGACTTCAAGTGACAGAGAATCCACCATTTACTCCAGTTCAAACCAGCAAGTGACCCATGCTGTAGAAGAGAGCAAAAAACACCCATGGGCATTGCCAATCTGACCTGGAAGAAAATTCCTGGTGATCAGTTAGACCTTGAGCATGTGGGCAAGACCCTCCAGCCAGACACCCAAGAAAGAATTCATTATAGTAACTCAGAGCCCTTTCCATCAATTGCCCCATCTCTGGCTGTTGGACATACTTGCTACTAGCAATCACAGATGGGCCACAAGCCATGGTAGGCAATCTCATCATACCATCCCCTCCATAAACTTACCTAGCTGAGTCTTGAAACTAGGTAGGTGTTTTGCCCCTTTGAAGGCTGTTCATGGTGAAACCTTCACCTACTTTCAAGCCTAAGCTTGTTGATAGACAGTTTATATCCTTTTTTCTTTTGCCCACACTGACCCTTAACTTAAATAACTCCTCTCCCTCTGTTGTTTATCCCTCTGCTGTATTTACAGAAAGCAACCATATTTCCCCTTAGCCTTCAGTTGGTTAGGCTAAACAAGCCGAGTTCCTTAACTCTCTTCTCTTAAGGTGGGTTCTCCATTCTTCTGATCATTCTAGTATCCCTTCTCTGCACCCGTTTCAGTTTGAATTCATTTTTCTTAAACATGGGAGACAAAAATTGCATACCGTATTCCAGATAAGGTCTCACCAGTGCCTTTTATAATGGCAATAACACTTCCCTATCTCTACTAGAAATACCTCACCTGATGCATCCTAGGACTGTATTAGCCTTTTTCATGGCCACATCACATTGGTGGCTCATAGTCATCCTGTGATCAACCAGTACACCCAGGTTTTTCTCCTCCTCTCCCTTTCAACTGATAAATCCCCAGTTTATAGTAAAAATTCTCGTTGTTAGTCCCTAAGTGCATGACTTTGCACTATTTAATTTCATCCCATTTCTATTAGTCCAGTTTTCAAGGTCATCCAGAACTTCTTGTGTGATACAATAAAATGTGCCTTAGCGACCACTTCTGAAGAGAGACCACCTATCACAAGTAACTACCTGCAGAGGCCACAGAATGTTTTTCCCCTATAATTTAACTGTGAAGAGTGACCACCTGTCATCTGCGACCAGCAACTATATTTTCTTTCTTCATCCATAAAAACAAACCTGTAGGACACATGATCTTCCTTACTTCTGTTCTGCTGCTTGCAGGTACCTGGCCAGCAGCCACTGCTCTCTGGTTGCCCAGCTCTGAAGGCAGCAAACCTTTGAAGAGAGTCCACCGCTTACAAGCGACCACTTTTGCTAACTTCCATGAGTGGTTAGCTCTTGGCAGGTTTT